ACCTTAGACCCATAGGGGTGCCTCTCTTTCATAGCCAACATAAACCTAGTCCCACTAGAAGCCTGACTTCCATGGACTCACATTCTGTGCTTGCTTTGGATTCCTCAAGAGATAAAGATAAACTCCCTGAGAGCTTTATCCTTATCTTGGCTAAGTCTCCTTTTCACTCAAGGACTCTTGTCCCTTATCTTTTATCCATTTATCTCGAATTTCGATATCTTCGGAACCTCGGCCTTACCGAGATAACCTCGGCGTCACAACCAGGACACGTGGCACCTCGGCTGACACGTCGACGTCACCCTGCCACGTGTTGGTATTCAGAAAATACATCCCCACGAGACCCATACATATTTTAACATAATACATTAATAATTTAATATAAGACCCTAATAATATAATACATATAACACTTATTTCACATTATATAAATAACAAAAAATTTATCAATTTTAGTTAATGCATTTATTATTTAAAATTACGTTTTCTTTTCTCCTTTTAAGTTGAAACAAATAGATTTTTTATTCCAGCAATTTATCCTACTTATTTATTTAAATGTAGAAAAATTATTTTTATCTAAATTGTTAAGACATTATTAAAACATTTAATAAAAAAAATAATTTTCATTGATAAAGTACTTTAAAATAAATTTTATCACTGTTTTGAATTTTTTTTTCGTCTAAATTCACACTAAATTGTTAAATTCCTTTAATAGTTGTTTATGGGATATATTGTTGCCGTTTTACATTATTTCTGTCCAAATTTTTAATATTTTTGCAAGCTAATTTATTTATTGTTTACACCGAAACGACAGTGTATTAATAGAAGCTCCTACGAGAGAAACTTTGAAACTGATCAATTCCATTTTTTTCTCTCTCAAATTAATGTTAGATAACATTTTAATAATTTAATATAAGATTTATTTCATACTACATAAATAACGTAAAATTTATTATTTTAGGTAATGTATTTATTATTTAATTTTTTTAAAGTTGAAATAAATACAGTTATTTTTTTCTCGACAATTTACATTACTTATTTATTCATATATAAAAAAATTATTATTTTATCTTTTCTCAATATTATTCTCAAATTTTAATTTTTATCTTTGCACCATTAACCTTTTAGTTGATGTATATTTAAAAAAAAAAAAACTTAAATTAATATTAAAAAAATTACGAAAATTAAATATAGAAGTAAAAAATATAAAATAAAATCTTACCTCCTCTGAGGTTATCAACACTATTAAGGCCAAGTTTGGGAAGTGTAAAAAAAGTTAAAAAGTTAAAAAGTCAAAAATTATAATTTACCCTATTAAATATATATGAAATTATTATTTATTTTTTATAATTTTTCAAAATATAAATGTAATTTCTTGACTCTCTTTTCTTCCACAAGTTTTTGAACTTTTATAGAAAAAAAATTAATTAATTAATTCTAAGATTTCGTGATCCTTCATTCCCCATCAACTAATTTTAATTTACTGTGAGGTGATTATATTTTTTTTACTTATATATTTATTTTTAATTTTTTTAATCATGTAAAATTATGAACCTATGTTTTTTTTAAATATGCATCAATTAGAAATTTAATGACCCAAAGATAACAATTAAAATTTGAGAATAATACATGATTGTGAAAAGATAAAACAATAATGTTTGTACATATGAAAAAAATAAGTAATGTAAATTGTCCAAAAAAAATAAATTCATTTATTTCAACTTTTAAAAAAAATTTGAATAATAAATGTATTACTTAAAATGATAAATTTTACGTTTGTTTATGTAGCGTGAAGTAAGTCTTATATTAAATTATTAGGATATTATCTAATGTTAATTTTAGAGAGATTATTTATTTTTAAATATTTTATCAATAAAAATGAAGGGTTTTTTTTCATTAAATGATTTAATAATATTGTAACAATTTAAGAGTTTTATTTAATATTGCATGAATTTTAAAAAAATTATTAAATAATGTTAAAATATATATGGGTCTTTTTGATAATATATATGTAAACCTGAGAGGAGGTGAATGAAATTATTCATTTGAATGGATAAAACATCTATGGGGTAATTTTGTCATTATTGGTATGACATCAGCATAACATCAGCAAATTCTATTAAATAGTATACTGAAGGATAACAGCGAAAGAACCTTTATAATGGTTTCAAAAGTAAGAAAAATTAGTGTAATTATTAAGACTACAAGGGAAATTTCTATAATTTTCAAAAATCTTAGGAGAGATAAATATAATATCTTAGAATATTTATATACACTAAATAATTTTTTTATTTAAAAAAAAATAAGTGTAGGTTCGAAAAAGTATACATAGTATCATATCGCATATGACAACCACCCAATGTTTCAATTAGCAATTCCTATGTGCTAAAAAAAGGAGGGTTGATATTATTTTTGCCTCCACCAACTCAAAGATACATCTGAATCTGAACTGGCTTTCCAGTTTCCCAAAGGACTTAACTACTAATGTTTTAGGTGCAACAACTTACTCTTAAATCCTGTACTTCATCACTTGTAGATAAACTATTGATTAATTTGTCAACTTACTGATGAAATCAATTCGACTTTTGAGTAATGAAATTTTGATATTCGACAGGAGACCAATTCAAATAATATAATCGCAATAACGACAAGTAGTAATAAAATTTTAGCATATGAATTCACCTGTCATATCTATGCATCTGAATAGGACTAGCTTGTGAGATTTTTGTATGACATTACTCAAAAGATAAAGAGAAACTATACATAGACAAATATAACTGAATCTATTTGTATACATACGATAAGAGCATAGAAGGGTTTGAATTCAAAAACGTCGAGATGGTTTTCTGTCCAACCACCTCCTATAACCCGCAAGTGCAGTAGTCACGGACTCACAGGACTGAAAGCCAAAGAGCCGACCTGACTCACTTTGGTCAGGTAGATAATAGACAAGATCAGTCCCATGATGATAATCCAGCACTAAATAATTTTCCAGATCTTTGAGATGAGAGTAAAGTAAATTTGCTTTGTCTGTCGCATGGGAAGAAAGAAAAATGTCTCGTAGCTCAATTTTTGTGGCTCAAAAGTGGCTCAAATGGCCAAAACGACGTCGTTTTGGCCATTTTTATGTTGTTCTGTACTCAAAACGACGTCGTTTTGGCCATTTGAGCCACTTTTGAGCCACAAAATTTGAGCTACGTAGCATTGTCGGGAAGAAAGTATTAAATAAAAATAAAAATAGAACACAGATGCAAGATGTTCCCTTGGACTCTTTCATGCCTAATTCTAGTAGATCAGGACAAGCTAGCAATTGTGATAATAACATGACAAAGATACTTAAAACTGTTTTATTTATGTTTCAGGAATCTGATAACACAATTTTTTCATGTGTTCCACTAAACATCTAGCTAGACTAGCATATCCAACAATGGCCCAAAGTTGTTTTATACAAAATGATAACCTCTTTTTTTTCTTCTTTTTTTACAGTGGCAGACAAATATAACACATCACATTGAATATAAAAATTTGTCAGTCGATGTTAAAGCTTCTGCATGTAGAAAGTAATTGTTATGAATAAAATCAACCAAAAACAAGGTGGGATATTGAATGACAAACGAAAATGGCTACACAAAAAAATGAGAGAGAATGAAGAGGCATACCATCTGGTGACAATCTCACTATCAGCGAATATCCAAACTGGAAAATTAGAGTGCAAGAAATGAATTCTGTAGGAAAGGTATATTCAACAAATCTTCCCTCTGTAATTCAACTATTTGGCAATATAAACCCCATAAAGGCCGTGTTTCTCAACATGCATTCCAAAAGGAAGCAAAGTTTAATTGAGAGGGAGAAAAATAGAAAAAGAAAAAGAGCTAATAAGAACACTTCACAATTTCTATTATGATCTGAAGTCTAAAGCAAATATACTATACAAAGCCAACCACAGAAACTATTCATGCTTCAAAACAAGTTTAGAAATGCTTTCAAAATTCGCAATTTCAGAACACAATGCAAACAAATATGATAACTTGCACCATTTCCTCCTCTTATTATAAATTTTCTATAACAAAAATGTTACTCTCCATTACTACAGCATGGTATTTTTTCCATTCATTCCCCTTCAAAATCAGTCATGGTCTTCCAAACTTTACAGATGGTATCGACAAATAAAAGATGGACAACCTTCTATAAGCCCTAATTCATGAAACTAGTAGATGATTTAGCCCACACAGAGAAAGCAGTTCCCTTCGCTGGCTTCTACAGTTTTACCAACCACATGTTCATCCATCCAGATTTTGGATTTTCATGGAACTAGGTTTTGCTTGAATGTACACATATATCAAATTATATCCTACATCATCAAACTATTCACTAAATCAATGGCTTTTTACTGAAATGCTAAAATTTAAAAATTTATTCACAAGCTGTGGACGGTAACAATTGCATTACGCATCTCAAGCGCGTTTCAGAAATCACATTGACATGATCTAGAGGATTTATAGATTATTTCACAAATAAGCCATAAAGAAGGAAATATAAAACTAGCAAAAGAATCGCAGCATTTGTAACTTGCCAGCAGTGCCCTAAAATTACAGGGAATATAAATGTGAACAAGGGAAAGTAAATGAGGCAATTTGGGAATTCTTTCATCACAAAAGGTAATATGTGGAATATCATAAAACATGACATATACCATAAAATAAATAAAATAAAAAGTTCATTATTATGAAAAACTTGATAAATTATTTCTGTAGAACTGTCAAGATTGGCAATCAAAGATTCAAAATGCATATCCATGTATTGATAGTAGAACATGTCTCCATGAGCACAAGATCAAGCGTGTGAACAAACCATTCGAAGAAAGAGTAATTTCAACCTTTTCTTTTCTAAACCTCATACAGCTAAGGATAGAGCATTTCAAAGCAACCATTACACCTCCAATATAAGATCAGTAAAGTAAGCAGTACAGCTGTAAGTAACAAGGAGACAAGAAAGCAAGGGTATGAGCAAACAGTTGGAAATCATATGTTTTCATTATTCTTTGAAGAAAAATTTACAAGAATGACAACTATACGGAGGCAAAAAGGGCAACAAATGTGAAGAGAAAGTACGCTCATCTCACATGCTCTATCAACAAATTCTGGCGAAAATGCAAAACCCCAGATTCAGGCCACCTAGTATTGACTTTTCCACAATGCAAGCATATACAAGATCTCAAACAATTTTCAAGTGAACTTACCAATCTGGGATTCAATTTATGCTCCATCTTTTTACCTCTCTTTAAATTCAGAAAATTCAGTACCCACACAAATTCTACGGAATAAAACAACCCCATGACAAAAAGCTAGAATTCTACACCATTGTTGCTCAGATCCATTGATAATGCCTCCAAAAGTACAAAGCTAAACATTAAGTTTCTGTTTCTATCAAAGGGACATTTCAATTCTACTGAAATTAATCATACTTTTCCCTCCAAGAGTACACAAGGAAGAATACCCATGAAAGCGCCAATACAATGTCTCCAACAACCTGCCTCAGCCAATCGTGTCCGAGTATTTCAAGCTTCCTCTCAAAGTAAACTCTCCAGATCGCCATGGCAACATGAAGAAGCACACACCCTTTAGCAAAGAAGATCTGAAACTCTCTGTCCTTAACAAATGCCACCATGAACAGAAAAAACCCAATGGCAAACAAAAGCAACCCAGAAAACGAATCTGAAGTACGAATCAAGAGCTCATCATGAGGTGTTGATCCCACAAGCTTACTCGCAATTTCACTGCCATGGCTAAACACAAAGACCTCATTGGAATAAAACATCATCATAGCTCCACAAGTCAGAGCAATCAGAGAATGAAGCATACAGATAAGAAAGAAACCAGATGATGCCATTGATAAACCCTAGATTGATCAAGCCCCTTCCAATTCAACAAAGCTTCAATTCAAACCAAGATTTAAGACTGAAAAACAAAAACCCATTAAAACCCTAACTCAAACTTCCATTTCATGATGCCAAATCAAAGAACCCAGATGAACAAAATGATCAACAACAACAAAACTTGGCTTGCATTGCGTGATTCAAACAAACCAAAAGCACCCATTATAAAAGCCCTAACCATAAAATTTCACAACATAAATCAGAATTTCTAAATCAACAATCAATCAAAACATTCTAATCCTCCCCCCAACACACCAGAGCGTTAATTTGAAACAGAAAAATAGCTGAATATACCCAGATAAACCCTAAACACAAATAAAAAGAGGAACGAGAGAGAGAGAGAGAGAGAGAGAGAGAGGGGGGGAAGCCAAGACCTGTGAAGGAATGAACCAATGGTAATGAAAGCTGTAAAGGGTTTATTATAGAAAAAGGGGAGTTTGGAGAGGTGAAAGAAAGGAAAGTGTGGTACTTTGGGGGATTTTTCACTGATGGTGGGACTGTTTTCTTTAGAGTTTATCAAAAACAAAATCACAAAAGGGTTTTTCAGGGGAATATATGTCTGTAAATAGGTAGCTAAACATATATATGGGTATGAACAAAATAGGAATGGGGATTGAAGAAGATGATGATGCCATACCCAAATATGGTTTAGTGATATACTTCAATTGCTTTGAGATTGCTTCCCCTCCACACCCCCAACCCATGCAGAAAATGACATTACACCATTTACGAAGCCACTTTGGAAGTATTATACTATTATATATTAGTATATCAGCCGTGATATATGCAAGTAATAATTATAGATATTTATATTTATTTTAAATTTTTTTAATATATAAATTATGTTTTTAAATATTTTTTATAAAAAATAATTTAATAATTTTATCACTAATTATAGTGTATAAGAGAAATTAAAAAGGTTACTGTAGTAACTATGCACGAGTTGTATATATAATTATTTGTCTGAAGTGATTTGAAATGCTGATCAGAAATTTTGACCAATTCAATAAATGCAAGTATGTGGAAAGACGTGTGGATTGGAAAAAGTTAATAAATACTAATTAGGAGATTTTGACCAAATCAATAAATGCTGAGATTTTTTTTAAATAAAAAATTTTAAAAATTGAGATTGAGAGATTGGAACTTACACAAGGCTTGGGGTTAGAAACTCTATTTTCTTTAATATATACTAGTCTATCACCCGTGCTATGCACGGGATAATCATAGATATTTATATTTGTTTTAGATTTTTTTTAATATATAAATTATGTTTTTTAAGATTTTTTATAAAAATAATTTAGCAATCTTATCACTAACCATAGTGCATACTACAGTAACTATACACAGATTGTATCTATAATTACTTGTATGAGGGGATTTTAAATGCTGATCAGGAAATTTTGACCAAATCAATAAATGCAGGCATACAGAAAAACATGTGGATTAAAAAAATTTAATAAATGCTGAGTTTTTTTTTTAATAAAAAATTCAAAAAATTCATATTGGAATATTGAAGTTCCCACATGCCTTGGGGTTAAAAGACCACATTTTGCTTAATATATAGTATAGATATATAATGGAGGAGATCTTATAAAAAAAACGTGTAGACATGAATGCCCTCATATTTTATTGTGTTTACAATTATCTATATATGTGAATTGTGATTTTTAAATATTTTTTTTAAATGTCTTCTTTTTTTTCCTTTTTTATATTATATTAAAGTTTAATATTTTGATAATAATCATATGTGTTGGACTTTTCAATGAATTAAATATCTTTTTTTTATTACTATATTATATTAAAGTTTAATATTTTGATAATAATTATATGTGTTGGACTTTTCAAGAAAATTTTTTTATACTTGTTCTTAATGCATTAAAATATTATTATGAGGGATAATAATCATATGTGTTGGGACTTTTCAAGGAATTCATGTGTTGCATTTCAAAGAATTTTTTTTATGCTTGTTCTTGATGCATTAAAATGTTATTATGAGGGTAAGACTTGGGAGTTGGATGAAGTTAATAAATTTCATTTTTTTTAAATAAAAATATAAAAAATTCAAATTAGGATATTAAAACTCTCACAGGCCTTGGAGGTTAAAAACCCTCTTTTGCTTAATATATAATAAGTATAGATATAGATAGATATAGATATTACTTAGGGTAATTATATTTTTGCTCCTTTTATATTTAATTATTTTTTTACTTTGGATTTTTAATTTTTATTTTTTTCATTTTGATCTTTTATGTTTTAAGTTTTTTTTATTTTACTCTTAAAGTTAATTTTTGTTTAAAATTAGACAAAAAATTTCATAATAAATGTCACATAATATAAAAATATATTATTATATTAGAATTTAAGTTTATATTAGAGATGTAGGTCATATATAAAAATATATATATATAAATTATGTTACGTAATTGACAATGTATCATTTTTTGTCTAATTTTTAACAGATTTTAACTTTAGGAGTAAAGTAAAAAAAAATTAAAATATGAAAAACTAAAGTGTAAAAAAATAAATTTAAAAGATCAAAATGAAAAAATAACCAAATATAAAGAAGGCAAAATGTAATTTATTCTATAATTTAATATCATATCATATATATGTATTATTATTGGACATGTCGGTCTCGGTTTTTATTTTTTATTTTTAAAGTTTTGGATAGGAAGATAAGCATACTAATTATTTTGGATATGGTTGTTTTGAGTATTGTGTAGGACCAGTTGTTTCATAATAAATAAATAAATAACTTGAGAAAAAAAGATGCATTTTTTTTTATTAGCCGACAATAAAAAAGGAGGAATTCTCTCTTCGTATTATTATTTTTTAATTAATATATTCTAATTTTTTACTAGTTACATTCAGGTCAAAAAACTCATTATGTAATAGAAAAATAATGTCTTGAAAGCGATATGATTCAAATAGATTGTTTGTTTTATTTTATTTTTTCAAATTTCTATATCCTCTCCTTATCCTTTGAGACACAACGTCAAGAGACATATCATGTCGTAAAAAAAAAAAAAAAAAAAAAAGTTTTCAAACAGAAAAATCGAGATACTTCGTGTAGAGAATTTTACTGTGCGCTTGGTTGTCTTTTGATTTGAAATTGTGGTTTCTATCCCAAAAAAAAAAAAATTGATTCTACGTTTGAAAGTGAATTGATTTTTTGACTTTTTAATTTTTTGTGATTATTTTAGTTTGGATTAAAAAATTTAGTTTGGGAAGAATTTTTTAATTTTTTGACTTTTTTTTGTGAGAGAAGAGTGTAATAATTATAGGTTGGATGTGATGTTTTGTTTATTATAGCTAAAATAGCATATTTTATCTTTTGTGGCTAAAATAGCTAAAAACCATCTTCCCAAACGGTGTGTGTTTGGTGGGCTCTTAAATCATAATTGCACCTACTGATTTGAATGTTACGTTTGGTTCTGTAATTTAAAAATTATTTTTATACCCGCGTTTGAAAACTCGTCTATTAGGTCATTCATTTGGACGTCCGGCCGGTTGCTTGAACAGTTTTTTTTTTGAACACATGTTATTTTTATATTTTAAATAAAAAAAAATTATGAGTTTTAAATAAAATTTTAGGTTGTGTGTTTAGTTATGAGTTGTAAATTTTTTAATCAAATATCATATGTCACATCACTCAATTTAAAATTCTTTTCAAAATTCCAAATCAAACAAATATTCTACACTTAAATCAAAATTTCAAAACTCACAAACTCAAAATATAACTCTATTATCAAATCATAATTCTAAAACTTTACCAAACGCTATGTTTTAATTTTTTTTTTAAAAACTCATACTTAAATACATAACTTAACTATTCAAAACTCAATTCAAAAATTATTTTCAAAATTCATAACTAAACACACAACTCACAATTCAATTTAAAACTCTATTTTAAAAAAAATCAATTTTTTTTTTTATTTTGCTTTTCAAAATTATTTTTAAAATTATGATTTGAATGTGGAGTTGTGTTTTGAGTTATGAATTTTGAGTAGAGTTTTGAAAAGAGAAAATTTGTTTGGTTATGAGTTTTGAAAAGAGTTTTGAATTGTATTTTAAGTTTTGAGTTCTATTTTGAAATTTTTTGGATTTAATTTTTTAAATATTTTTAAAAAATCTTAAATTTTTTTAGGGTATATATTTTATATTTTAAATATTTATTTATTTTAATATACACTATATTTTATACATTTGTGTGCTGTATTTTTTAAGAAAATATTTTAAATTATTTTGTAAATATTTAAAAATTTTATTTTTTATTTTAAATATAATTTTTATTATAAATATTAGTTAACCAAACAAACGTTTTACTTTTTTTGATAACAAAATTACATAATAAATATATAAAGTATAGAGTAAGTGGAAGGGAAAAAAAAAATATATATATATTGAATTGAATTTGAAAACAGCAAGAGTGTGGAGATGCGGGGGATTGAACCCCGTGCCTCTCCCATGGAAAGGAGCACACTACCATTTGAGCTACCTCCTTACTTGTCTTCTATTTTGATTACAAAACATTTTTCTTTAAAAGCATGGTTAGAAACCACGCTTTCTTTACAAGACAGATTTCCTTAAACGCGTTATAAGATTGTAACCGATTTCCTTAAACAGATTTCCTTAATTAAAAGCGTGGTTTGTAACCACGCTTTTATGATTTCCGTTCTCCGTGGCTGGGCCAGAAATATGGTAAAAGCGTGATTTGGAATAATGTTTCAGCTTATTTTGGGAATTTCGGCCAAACTAGGCTTAGTTTGAGAAATAGGTTAGTAGTTTGACTTATTTTGGGAAATGGCCCAAGAATTTGAGAGGTTTATAAGGCCCATCACAAGTTCCGTTACAATGATTCAAACCGATTATTTTATAAGGTCCTCAATGTATAATATCCATGAAAAAAATTAATTCGATTCAATAATCGTAATTTTTTTTTTCATTTTATTACATTTGTTTCCAAAAAAACAGACGAAAACTATATTTTGAAATAAACCATTCATTTTTTTTTTAAAAAACAAATGCTATAAAATGAAAATCTTACAGTTATAGGATTGAGATTAACCTCAATTTTTTCATGGATATTATATATTGAAGATCTTACAAAATGAACGGTTCGAATTATTGAAACAGAACTCTTAGTGGGCCTTATAGGCCTCTCAAGTTCTCTCAAGTTGAGATCCCAACATAAGAGAAACTGAACCTTTTTTTTTGTTTCATCAAATAATGATAGTGCATCGATTGAATATAATTATTATAGGATAAATAATACATAACAAAAATAATCAAATTCAGACATACATTTTAAACTTAAACCGAATTCATAGATCATATGGGTAAATTATGTGCCTTCAAACGATGAACCTAAACTTTTCTCAATGGTTGAGTGGAATTATTAGAAAACTACCCACACAACTCACAATACAAATGAATGGTTGTTCTTCAATTGCAAAAAGTTAAAAATAAAAAGGTAAAGAAATTTTTTGATCTCTCAACTTGCATATTACATATCTGTAATATATTGTGAGAGATGTAACTACCTACAACCCTATATCCTTATAAGATGAGATAGTGAATTATCTACACTTATCCTTAAAATGAAGTGATTCAAAAATCAAACTAATTGAG